CACTCTGGGAGGCCGAGGCAGGTGGATTGCTCGAGGTCAGGAGTTAGAAACCAGCCTGAGCAAGAGCAAGACCCCGTCTCTACTATAAATAGAAATAAATTAATTGGCCAACTAATATATATAGAAAAAATTAGCCGGGCATGGTGGCACATGCCTGTAGTCCCAGCCACTCGGGAGGCTGAGGCAGAAGGATTGCTTGAGCCCAGGAGTTTGAGGTTGCCGTGAGCTAGGCTGACACCATGGCACTCACTCTAGCCTGGGCAACAAAGCAAGACTCTGTCTCAAAAAAAAAACCAAAAAAAACGGTATGGAGGTTTCTCAAAAAACTAAAAATAAAACTGCCACACAATCTAACAATCCCACTACTATTTATCCAAATGAAATGAAATCAGTACATCAAAGGAATACCTGCACCTTCATGTTTATTGTAGCACTATATGGAATGCACCCAAGTGTGTATCAATAGATGAATGGATAAAGAAAATGTGGTATTTATACACAATACTATTCAGCCATTAAAAAATAAAATCCTGTCATTTGCCGCAACATGGATGGAACTGAAGGTCACTGTGTTAAGTGAAATAAGACAACCACAGAAAGACAAATATTGTATGTTCTCACTCACACAGGAGCAAAGAAGTTGATCTCATGGAGGTAGAGATTAGAATGATAGTTACCAGGCACTGGTAATGGGGTTGGAAGGGATGAAGAAAGGTTGGTTAATGGGTACAAACATACAGTTAGCTAGAAGGAATAAGTTCCAGTGTTTGATAGCACACTAAGGGGGGCTACAGTTAACAAAAATATATTAGATACTTCATAATATTTAGAAGATTTGAAATGTTCCCTACACAAAGAAATGACAAATGTTCAAGGTAATGGACATCCTAAATAGCCTGATGTGACCATTACACATTGCATCCAAATATCCCATGTACCCCATAAATATATATAGTTATTATATATTGATTTCAAAAAGCACAAAGAAATTAGCAGCCTAAAATCTATGTTGTAAATTCAACATGCCACTTAAGTTTTCCAAACTTCAGTCATTTTTGTACTTCCATCACTATTTTCACCATATCCACATACCTCTTAACTTATACCATTATTTCCTTGATATTAAGTTAACTCCATCTTTTACTTGAATTTATTTTTAAAAGAAACTAGTAGACTTGGGATAATGGTACGGTGACAAAAAAAAGGCAGAAGCAAAAGAAGAAAAGATAATGGCTCCTGAGAGGAAAAGGCATGCAGAGTCAGAAGGCAGGGAAGGGCAGGTCCAGGGCTGAAGACACTGGATCCATGGGGCAAAGTTGGCCCAGCATAGGAATGAGAAGGGATAGGAGTTGGGGGGTGAGTTGGAGAATAATAAAGAAACACCAGCGAATGGGGATTCTGGTAGCAAGTAGCATGATGCTGTGTCCTGAAAGAGCATGAGGGGCAGAGAATAGGCACGAGCAGCAGGGCCCAGCTGGCAGAGCAGACATCGGGGCCAGAGCCCACAGCAGGGCAGTGCAAGAGTAAGAATGAAGCTAGAGGTGAGAAGGAGGGCAGAGTTAAAGAGTGGATGGGGATGAGGAGGGCCTGCATTGAATGGGGTGGGGCAGAGGTGCACAGCCCAGCAGAAGCAAGTATTGGACAAAGTAGATTGTCCTCCGGACTGTACCAGGCAGTGACCAGGAAAAGAAACTCGAGAAACATCTGCAAATCACCTAAAATTATCTCACAGACATTCCCACACACTGGGAAACATTGTCTGATGCTCTATGAATAAAGAACATCAGTCTTTCACTTTTTCTCCTTTCACTACCAAAAAATAAAAATTACATGTAAACAAAGGAATTTACAACCCCACCTTATCAATTAGATCCTCACAAATACACCAAAACCCAACATCAACAAAAAGCAACCTTACTTTTCTTTTATACACAACTTGTGTTTCCTATCTTTACAAACTCTTTTCTTTTGATGGTCAGTCACCATCATGGGAACCATCTCCTTAGTCAACGTCTATAAGCACAGAACACAATCAGCAGAGTTGACACATGCCCAGTAACCAACGCCATAAAAACAGCATCTGTTTAAATGAGAATAAGTCATCAAAATAATGTCTGAACAAGCTGGCAATTCTTTATCATATAAATCCTTGCATATAGTTAAGTACAGCCCTACAAAACAATATCTTTTATTTTTTAAACCCTTACCCTTAGCTAAACAATGATGGGTGTGACAAAAGATTAGTCTGCAATCACCAAGCCCATACTGTTATTTCTTTGTAAAGTTTATTTCTGCTCCGTGATGTGTTCTAACATTTCCTCTCTTTTCCTAGGTGTGTCAAATCACAGATTCATTCATCCTCCAGTCACAGCCAAGTGAGCGACTAAGGCCAGCACACAGCTCATTGATTATTTCAATTTCCTGGGCTAAACTCATCATTTCCCACTTCTTATTTCTTATTCCCTCCTTACTTTCTTGAGGTTTGTTACTTTCAAGATGACATAAGGGACAGCAATGATGAAGGCAAGATGACATAAAATCCTAAAACAGATGAAGGGAGCCAAATTCTATTATACTTAAGAAAGATTAAATCTAAGGGAAATTTGTACACTGCTCAGAAGGGTGGGTTCATTTTTCATTCAGTCATTCATTTGACAAGCATCTATTGAGCGTCTCTAAGCTAGCTCAGCCTAACATGCTACTTCAAAGCAAGCCATTTTCTATGCAATGTTAGCTAACATTAGTTACGAGAAGTTGATAGATCCAAAAATTGTTTGAATATGAATGTGAGCATGCACACATATACATGCATAATACTGTAATACCCATTAACCAGAACTGGGCAACATAATCAACCAAACCCCAAAAAGCATGGAAAGCAGACATCCTACATAGTCAAGAGCTGCTAGTCTAAAGCTTCACATTAAGGAAAACCCTAGAGACACTATTTATGAAAAATCATAATTTTCAAGCTACCATACATAGGGACCAAACATGTATGGAAGAACACACAATTCCGGCAACCAACTTTTGCTATCCAGGGAGACAGCTTAATCTACCAACCCATAAATTCATTAACCTGACATTTCTAAGAATGCCTAACACATGTACTAACATAATAATTTCCCCAAAATTCTATGATGCTGGTGTTATTAATATACCTATTTTTCAGATTAACAAACTGAGGGTAAATCATTTATTCAAGGGCACTTAGACAGCAATGGAGCCAGTACTTGAACCTAAATTTGCAATTCATGGGTTCAAGCATTTACTAAAAAAAAAAAAAAAATTGTATTATCATAGCTTATACATTAACATTTAGTTTCTTCTTATAATTGGCATCATATGTTAGTTTGAATCTTGTTTTAATTCATGTAAGTATAAATTGTCTCTAAGCCTCTAACAATTCTTAATTGGACTTTTCTCAGTTTCTGGGTATTACATACCACCTGTTCCTGTCTTTCTCAGGATGTCTGTCGGAGAGTGAGAATTAACTGTCTTGGAAACAAAAACTAACATTTAAGGGGTACTTCGTTCATGCCAGGCACTAGGCTAAGTATTTTGTTTGTAGTTTCCCACTTAACCCCTATAGCAACCCTCTGAGTTGGTACCACTATTATCATCATCACCCTTTTTTACAGATGAAGAGAAGGAGACACAGAGAGGTTAAGTAACTTGCCTGAGGTCACACAGATAAGGGGGACTCACACCTGGCAGTCTCTTCCCCCTTCTCCCAATCTATGATCTTAACCAATATGAAGTTATAGTTCCTTTTTTTTTTCCTGGAAGCTTCACTGGCTTCAGAATGGTTCCCTTCTTAACGCTGTCATCTCATCTCAAGTCTGGGCTTCCACTGGCCTGTTTCTCAGTGAGAGAATGCTTTTAGTGTGCTGGTTTGGTTTCCTCCATCTTTGATTTCTCCCCTGATAAGGGACCTGGTTCACCTTCCCTGTGCAGCTTTTTGCTTCCACCCGGTATTGACCTCCTGGCACACCTAAGACTGTTCCCAACAGAGAAGAACACAGCTTGGGCTGTGGAGCAGCAGGGTTTCCCCAGGATCATCTTTTCCATCAGGGGTTTGATCTCATTCTTGCCTAAACCTCTTAAAGAAGCCAAAGCTTTTAAAAATAACATTCAATATTTTAAAAAAAATCAATTACGAAACAAAATTCACAGTGGCTTTTCCTCACAAGGGAACATCTGGATTTGTGTCACATTGTCAGAAGATTTTAATTGCATTAATATTTGATGGTGAAACATATTAAGGTCAGATTAACCTAAGCAATAAAACTGACTTCCCCTCTCCTTTCCAATATCTGCAAATTCTTTATCAGCTCTCTCTATAGACAATTGACAAAGGAGCTGTCTTCAGAGCAGGTACTATAGCTCCATGATGCTGAGAGGTGTGCAGGGAGGAACTTAGCATTTACTAAGCACCTGCTGTGTGCACCAGACATATTTTACGTTTTACATGTATGAATTAAATAATAACTCCACAGCAATCCTAGCAGATAGGTCTTACCATGCCCATTTTACAGATGGGGAAACAAGCTCAGAAAGGTCACATAAATCACCCTCAGGTCACAGAGTTGGTCAGTGGCAGAGCTGAGACTTGAGCCTGTGTCTGTTTGCCCCCAGCTTCTTGCTGCAGAGACCATTCTCCTTCCCGCCCTGCTTCTCAGAGTGTTCTGTCAAGAGCCCTGCAAGGCAGGGCTTAACTTATCTTTGACTACAGTACTGAGCTCAATAAAAAACCCAACAAGAAATGAGATCCTGTTACCCAGATGCTTCCCAAATGACCCATGTGCTCCCAATTCCCAGCTGGGTCACACATGTCCCCAGAAAAACAGCCTCTCTTTACTTTCCGTGGGTTCACTACTTGTCTCTGTTTCATTCCCTCTCTCTCTTCTTGCCCCCACTCCCCTCTCTGCTGTGTCTCTCTGTGTATCTCTCTCTCAGTCCCAGTCTCTCTCTCTGACACACACGCGCATTCAGGATACCTCGATCCAGCAGCCGGAGCAAGCGGAGATACCAGAGATACCACTGGTCCCAGAAGCGGTCCGTCATCCCACCCTGAACGCATCCTTCACAGCCAGTCCTCTCGGCAAAGCCTCATCCCACCACCGCTGACTCGAGGAGGCCGGAATCACTTGACGCTGGGCTCACACGCAGCCTGCTCTAAGCAAATGCTTGCCTGCAAAGACAGCCACCGGTCCTCCCACACAGCGGCTGACTGTGCCGGGAGCCGGTTTCACAGCAACAAAGGAACAAGTGCAGAACAACGCCGTGTGCAGACCGAGCCTGCCTGGACCCAAGGGGAGGTTGGAAATGCGTGGGAGGGAGTCAGGGAGGACTTTTGCAAACAGGTGAGGTTTGAGGTGATCTTGGGAATGAAAATCCACAATCAGGGCCATGTCTTAAATTTTATTCCAGTATCTCCCGCCATCCTGGCTTCCATGCCTCCCCCAGCAGAGGCCAGTGGCTTCTCCAACAGGATAGGGGGTGGGAAGCTGGCAGCTTAGCCATCCTGGACCCCAAGGCCATTCCAGAAGACCAGGAGCCTTACTGCCTCACTGTTGGGACCAAAGGCACTTCTTGCCCAAAACTGCTAGACCCACATGACAGAAAAAGGTCACAGATCCTTTCTTTCTATGTCTCTTCTCAGACCTTGTGTTATAGTATAGATAGCATGGACTCTGCAGTCACATGGTCATGGGTTCAAATCCTGCTTACCACTTAATACTTGCCTGGCCTTGATCAAGTTACTTCAACTTCCTGAGCCTCAGCTTCCTGTGTAAACTAGAGAGAACAATATTTGCCTCCCAGAGGTATCATGAGGCCCATAGCAAAGGAAGAATATAACATTTCTGTAGAGTGTGCAGTACAAAGTGGCAGATAGAAAGTTCTCCCTCACCCTCCAACCCCCTCCCTCTAGCCAGATTCTCAGTAGCCCACATGCCCACATGTCCCATGGTTTCCTACCCCCACAGCTTTGCCCCTACCCTTCCTGCCGACAGCATGCCCTCTCTATTCCCCCACACACACCATGGCCAAATGCTCCTAACTTTGCCAACACCTAACCCCAATGCCACAGAATCTGGGCAGGCATCTCTCATCTTTCCTCCTTTATATTTAATTGTTTTCATTCCACCTTCTCCTTATGTAGGCCTCTTCTCCTTTACTTGACCATAAACTCCAGGTAGGATCCGCTTTTTAATCATTTTTCTATCCCCCAAAGTATCTAATATAGTGCCTTAAACTTCACCAGTACTTAAGTGATTACTAACTAAACTAATGAACAAGAAGGGAGCCTGGGTCCCCCACATGATTTGTCTTTGTCACAGTGAAAAGAGTGGACTGTGGGGCCTCAGCCCCTGGGTACTGCCTAATGCCTGTAGAAGGGTGATGGGTTACCCTGTCCTTGCCCAGATCAGGGCCCCTCTTACAGTGGGCTGGCCACCCACGTGGTAGGGCTGTGCCTTAGGTAACCAGGAGTCCTGCTCACAGAGTGGAAACCTGAGAGGACCCCACATCTAGAACAACCTCATTCTCCAAGCCTAAAAATGACCCAGCAGCCACCTGCACATTCATCACACCTCTTGTTCAGCCTAGGCCACACCAGCCATGCCTTCTCACTGTCCTAACAGAAACATTGTCCTCCCAGGCCTCCTGGTCTCTGTCAGGCAGCTGGTGGGAGCATGGCTCCCTGGGGAGGAGGCATGCCCAGCAGGCAGGAGTTGGGAGGGAGAGGGAGAAAGCGAGCAGAGCCACAATCTCCACCCACCTGCCCCTGCCCCAGCACCACTACCGCCTTTGGGGTCTTTCTTAAAGGGCAGCACTGGGTCTGAGCAGAGACACACCACCCAAGAAGCTACCTCTCAGGCTCTGTTAGCATTATTTTCTTATTACCTTAAATGGACAAGATTCCAGTGTGTAGCTAACACAAGAATGCAAACCCCTCCTCCTCTCTCCAGAGGGAAGAAGTGACCCGAAGTCTCCCCTTTTGTGAATAACAAAAATCCATCACTCACGTGTGGGCAGTACTTTTTAGTTCACGAAGTACTTTTACATCCATCATGTTCTATGGGCCCCTTAACAGCCCTGCAAGATCTGTAGAGTGGAAATCACTTTCCCCAGTCTTCAAGAGAGAAAACCCATGTTCCAAGAGGTTAAATCACTTACTTAAGATCAAATGAATAATAGGTGCCCATCTATCTATCTCTTCCCTAAGAGAGTTTCTAAGGCTCTAGATTGTTCCCTGGGGAATTGTGACATCTTTCACAGAGAGATGGAAGCCCTCATAGTAGGGCAGGACCTGGAGAAACAGAAGTCCTGAGGAAGCCCCTCCAGGGAAGTACTGACATGCCATGGGCACAGGCTGAGTAGAGTCTGAGTATGGCCTCTTATTGACTAAAGGCCTTTCATCTTTTTCTGTGGCCTCTGGTTTATGGCTGCAGACTGAGTGCATCTCCAAGCAAGAAGGTCAAAATGACTTTTTCTAACACAACTGGGAAGAAATCTGAAATGAGGGGCTTCCACCATGGCAGGAGACATAGACAGAGAGGGGCTATGGGACAAGCATCTGAGTGTGAGGCAGGAAGTCCCAGTGACTGTGTGGACACTGTGCAAACTAGAGTGCTCTAACAGTGTTACTGCTACTAGGCCTGGAGAAAGAAGCTGGCCCTGTTCCCCACCCTCTAATAATCAAGAACAAAACATTCCACACAGCCTAATTTTCAGAGGGAAAGGGAATAAAGACTTAAAGAACAAAATGGGTGCAAGCACTTCCCCCGCAAACAGTGAACCTAAGAACATAAGGATTATCCCTCGGGTCAGGCCCAGAGTGAACCCATTCAGCCTGGAGTTTGACTCCAGATTGAATTCAACCTATCAAGCTAGGCTCCTGGGAGCTCCCCAGCCCACCACCGCTCATTTCTCCAACTCCCACAGAGCTTCATAAGCCTTACTTTAAATGCAGCCCCTCTAGAAGTTGAATAAAATGTTCCAAGAGACTGTCAGCATTGCCATTTAGCTGCAGTACAATTAGAAAGGACAGGATATTGGCCAGGACAGAGCCTTATTAGGTTTTTGTTGTTGTTTTTGTTTTGTCTTAAACAATGCTTCCACAGTGGCTCCTTTTTCACCATGGGCAAAGTAAGAACAGTCATTCTCGTTGGCATGATTCCTCCAGCCCACCCAACTGGCCACAGAGACATGTTCTCCAGGGACAAGCACAGTCTCCAGGCCAGCAGTCCATCCACTCCTGAGGGCTGATGCCCGTCTGGATGTTCAGCAGTTACTTGATGTCATAACATAGATGTGTTCCTTTCTCTTCAATGTTCCTTCGTCTTTCCTTGGCACTGTTCTTTCTCTCTCTACCCGCCCCAACATGAAAACACTGTGTTCCCGATCAAATGAAGCCGGCACAAGTGTATGGAGCAGAAGGCAAGCAGCACTGAGGGAGGAGAGATCCAATCATGTCCCAAATCTTTCCCACTCATCTCCTGGGACAACAATGGCCACTGTTCCCTCAGCAGCACTGGCTGGCTCCTTGAAAACATGGAGCTATCTGACAAGTGCAGGCTACACAAGAAGTGGCAGAGGTGCTGGTATCTGCAAACCAGAGTGAAGACTGCCCACAGACATGGTGTCTGCCCCTACCCTGCCCCAGGAAGCAGGTTCCACCAGGCTGCCATTTTGCCCTGCAAGCTGCGCTTCATTGCAACATAAATCAAACACTCCAGCAGACACCATCCTCATCCACCTCCCACATCGTTTCTGTCCCCTTAGTGATTAGCACCCAACTGGTGAAACGAATCCAGGGGCAACACATTCTCAGGGATACCATTCAGGGGATGAGATGGACACCTGCCAGTATCTTCTATAGAGCCTGGTGTCCCCAGGTGAACAGGTCCACACCTGAGGACAGTATCTAAAACAAGTATCACTTAGACGCTGAAATTCAAGTCCACCTCTCCCAAGAGGCCTTTTCCAGCTAACCTCACACATTCTCTATCTCACAGGTTCTCAAAGTTTAATAGGCAGCAGAATCACCTTAGAGGGTTGTTTATCCATGCCGATAACTAGGCCTCACTCCCAGAGGCCTGCATTTTTAACAAGCTCCCAGATGATTCTGAGACGGTGATCCATCTGCTTCTGTGCCTGTTCTCTTCTCTTACTCTCAGCACCAAATTCATTTAACTATTTTGAATTCTAGAGTGTCCCCCTTCTCCCCACATGCCCTAAGAGTCCAGTAGGGAGGGAGACTCTGAGTCCCCCATTAGACTAGGCTCTCCTGGAAGGTAGAGAGGAGAACCTCCTCCTCTCAAGGCCCAGCAGAGGGGCCCACATGTGGGGTGGAGAAGCTGCCAGCCAGGAGGCTGAAAACTCGGCCTCATCTCTCCACATGCTCCAGAAAGTGTTCGTCCTGCCAGGGCTGCACTTCACATCTGTACAATGGCTTTAAATGTCACCTCAAATATCAGGCCAGGCAGCAGGAGGGAAAGGCAGAAGGTAATTAGCCTGCCTTGCCCCAGCTTTTGTGTAGCTTTCATCCTTGCTCACTTCTGACCTCTGCTGAGATCTTTAACTCTCCCTTGGCCGAGGGAGGCCCAGCTCATGGAAGGCTTCACAACCCTTCACTGCGCTGGGCTCTAAGCCACATTGATAAGTGGGGGAAACTTGATCTCTCCTTCACCCTTTTCCTAAGGATTTCTAGTTCCCCCATCAGTCAAAAGAACCCCATGTTGCGCATCAGCCTAGCTCACAGCAACACCCACCACTGTCCCCCCCCCCCCCCCCAGCAGACCGCGTTGTCCAGCCAGCCCCCGGGCCTCCCTGGGGTGCCCCCCGCCTTCTAAAGCTCACCCATCTGGGGCCACATTCCCTGTTGACTAAATCCTGTGAAAAGTATTATGTGAACCTCATCCCCTCTGAGGTATTTATGATGAAAGCTTAATATTTAGGCCTTTGGGAAAATACATTTTGGCAAAAGATAAAGCCTTAGGTCAAAGGAAGGCAAGTGGAAGGCCTACCCAGGCCTTAGGTAGGCAGTGTGGGGTGGATACCTGGGGCCGAGGAGCAGTCCATGGCTTGCCTGCCTAAGTCTTCATAGGCATTGCCCTGTCAGGCCCCTGAAAAAGGCAATTCACAGAGCCTGGTGCTGCTTCTTCCTGCTCTGACCTCCTGCTTCCTGCTCAGCATGACCACCTGGTTGGCTGCCATCCCCCAAACACCTGAATTATAAAGTAGTTCTTGAAGAAAAGGAAAAAGCTGGTAAGACTACCTCAGAACCTGACCCAAGAGCGTTCCCTATTAGCTCCTACACTGCCTCACAGTGAGTGACACTGCTCCTCCATCTCACTTCCACTAGAGCAGTTTCTTCACCCACCAAAGGAGGGAGAGTTACCTGATGGCCTACAGGCATTTCAAGACAAGGGGTCCTTCACCCCCAGGAGGTTTGGTTTCTCTTAAATATTCCTCACATCTGTCGAGCCCTGAGCTCACCACCAGAGAATCAGGAAAACTTAAGCCTCCAGTCACCACAGCTGAAAGCTCATACCTCAACCCTGACCAGGTGGAGCCCTTCTGTGAAGACCCTCTCCCTCTCTCTTCATCCCACACCCTTCATCTCCTCCCTTCTCCATCCCCTCCGAGAGATTTTCCAAATAGCCCCCCTCCATACATTTGCCAGTAAAATCAGGCACCATGCAATGAGGACTGGGTTAATAATTATAAATGTGAATTTCAATAGGATCAAAAAAAGCCTACTGTATCATAAGAGAAATGGTAAATTTTGGCTAGCATATGTCTAGAGCTAAACATTTTTTTCATATTGAGTTTTTGCTTCTTTTTTGGAAAATTTAGAATCTGTATGTCCCATAGGGCAACCCACTATTAAACAAAAATATCACTCACCTAATGCCCTGAGTCCCCATACACATACACACTTCAGGCTGAATAATGAAATCACCTGCACACTAGCCAGTTTGAATTCTGTTCCTTGCCTCTTATTTTCAAAAAGAAAAATACCATTTGCAAAGATCACTTTACCTTTCAGCAAATTGATTCTGCTTATGGTTCTTAAAAATAATTGATTCCCATAATTTCCACAAATCTCTTTATCATCTTGTTTATTCTGTTAATTTGCAAGCCGCTGGGGTATTGGGAAAGGGCTGAAGCTTTTGAATCAGACCAACCTGATCCAAATTCTAAATCTTTTTTCTAGTTGACTAAGTAACTTGGGGCAAATCACTTCCCTAAATCTCAGTTTCTTTATTGTTTGGATAAAGACAAAACTTATTCTATAAAACTTGAACAACTTTCATGAGGAAAAAACTAACATATATAAATACAAAGCACTACACCTAATACATAGTGTGTGTTTAATAAAGATTAGTGCATTTTCCTACATTGAAAAAGCTCAGGCCAGGTTGAAATTCTCAGTTCGTGGGACCTAAGTGGTCAGATGAACCAGTAAAAACAGTGTCAGCTTTGCCACTGAGGACAGCCAAGTAGCCCTTATGAGGTCCTCAGTTAGGGGCAAGTCACCACCTCAAGTCTCCCAGGCTTCTCTATCTCTCAGGAGGTGGAAGATTCTTAGATCTCACTTTTCTTCTAATTCCTGTGATACCCCCTCCCTCCTCCCTGGGGAAATAAAAATGCCCAACAGCCCCAACTCATCTGCCTCCTCCTCCTGCCCTAACACGGGTTGGAAAGTTCCAATGATAGAATTGAATCTGCGATAGATTCAATTGTGAAAACTGCCCCTCAGCACTAAGAGGATGGGAAACTACGAAGTTCCTGATGTAGCAGCCCCGTAGTGAACAGCGATGGCATGGCATCCCTAAACATCCATCATTCTGGCCTCACATCATGCACTCAACAAAGCCAAGTTAAAGATAGCCATGGGGAAAAAAAAACCTAACTATAACACTTCAGAAAGAAAAAATTGTATGGTTTCAGGGTGGGGTGGTTTTCCCAATCATGAAACAAAACTCTATATATTGGCTTATATATTTTTTTCAGTTTTTGGAAGGATATACAAAGCACCTGAAGAGAACAGGAGGCTGGACAAGAGCAGAGGAAGGGCTACTTTTCACTGTACATTTTCTTATACATTTTGAATTTTGGCCCTTGGACTCTATTTCCTAACATTATAAAGGATGTTTTAAAATAACAGAGTGAAGAATAAATACAACTGTTCTTGGAGTCTGGCTGCCATGCTGTGAGAATTCTAAGCCACATGGAAAGGGCACACGGGGAACCAAGGGTTCTGGTCAAGACCCCTGCTCTCCCCACCCAGCACCAACTGCCACAAGAGAGGAAGGCCACTCTGGAGTTTCCAGCCATCCCAGCACTAGCTGCAGACACCACAGGATGCAGAAGCAATGCCTGGTCAACCCTCATAATCATGAGAAATGATAAATTGTTGTTCTAAGTCACTAAGACTTGAGGAGGTTTGCTATAATGTAATAGATACTGAAACCGAGAGTCATTGGTACATGCAGAGCAAGAATAAAGCCATAAGATTAGATGAAATCACGAAGGAACTATTGAAAAGGACTGTGCCTTATTTCACCTAAGAGGGCAAAAATCATGGCTACTCTCAGAATCCCATCTATTATCTGCCTATCCATCCATCTTGGAATTATTAATAGAATTCTAAAAACAGGGTTGTCACAGAGGGTGTCTAATTAACATGCTTGCTTGAATTTCAAAAAAGTCAGACTTTTCTGACAGGAAGTAAATATGTCTGATTTGGCTGCTTGCTTTGACAATGAGATTTGCCTTCTCCAATTCATATAAATCTGCAGCTCCAAGATCTTGAAGACAATATATTTAAGGCCTCTATATAATGGGCAATGTGTCAGAAAATATATTATTTGCAACCATTTAAGTTCATGGTAAAAATAATGTTAGATGTCAATTTAAATGTGTGAAGGGGTACACATTTTTCAATATTCTTTTAGGGCATACAGAAGCAAAAAAGTGTGAAGCCCACTGAACTATGGTATACTCACATGGAATACTATGCAACTGTTAAGAATGAAGATGCTTTCTGTGAATTGACATGAAAAGATCAAGACATATTGTTGGGTTAAAAATTCAAGGCATAGAACAATATAGTTAGTTGTCGTCTCTTTTGATAATATAAGGGTACAATAAGTATGGATTCAGATTTGCTTATATTTGCAAAAAAAAACATGGGAAAGAATCACGAGTAAATAATACTGATGGTTACCTATGAGAAAAGTGGTTTGGTAGACAGGCAGAGGTGTGAGTGCATTATATTTTTATGTCTTTTAAGTCCTCACAGAATAAAAGAGTAGATAAAATTGCAAAAACATAAACAATGTTAAAAGATAATCTAGGAGACAAACATTTGCCATGTTTGCAACAATATATCATATAAAGGGTTAATATTTCTAGTTTATAAAGAGCTCTTAAAAACCATTAAGAAAGAGTTAATAACCTAGTACAAAAATAAGTAAATATTATGAATGGGCAATTCACAGATGAAAAAAGACAAATGATTGACAAAAAGTAAAAAGATGTTGGCTATCACTAATGATTGGGAGAAATGTAAATTAGAGCAATAACAGCATGCCACATTTTGCCTATAAGTTTGGGGAGGGGGGAGGAACCAAACTAGGTTTCTACCTAGTAGAAAGGTAAACTGGTGAAACATTTTTAGAAATCAATTTGGCAGTACCTATCAACATTTCTAAAATGCATAACCTTCGACACAATAATTCGTCTTCTAAGACTCTCACCTACTAAAATATCTGCACTTCCATACACATTGCAGTGTATTCTATACTAACAACAACAACAAAACCTGGAGGTAAACTAAATGTTCAACAATAGGGAACGAGTAAGATAAATTATGGTGTCTCCCTGAAAATAAGACAGGGTCTTATATTTATTTTTCCTCAAGAAGACACCCTAGGACTTATTTTCAGGGAATGTGTTATTTTTTTTAAGTATGGTACAACAATCTACATTTATTCAAATATAGTTAAGTCGTCTTCTTCTGGAACATCATCATAACTCTCCAAACCCTGAATTCCATCCTGAATTTCTTGCAACTCTATTTCCTTTATAACTATTGGCCCCAATCTCCCATGTCGAGCAATAGAGCTCTCATGGGGCAGATGAGAAGGGCTGCTCATCTTCTTTACCGCTCCACAAAGAAATGCATGGGTTATGCAGATACACTGCATAGTCACGCCCATCACTAGGTCTTATTTGCGGGGTAGGGCTTATATTGCGCAAATGCTTTGAAATCCTGCTAGGACTTATTTTATGGGTAGGTCTTATTTTCGGGGAAATATGGTATAACACAGACTACCTTATACTTAGAAACCATTAACAAGGACAAGCAGTTTTATACACAGTGACATAAAAGGATTCCATGATCTATTATTAGGTGAGAGAATATAATTTGTGAAATAGTTGAAAATAATTTGGATTATCCCACTTTTGTGAAAAAATATATAAATATACACTATAGGTATATATCTCATTGTGCATAGAAAAAGAGTTCTGGTAGGATATACACCAAACTATTAACAGTAGTTATCCCTGGGGAATGGAGAAAAGGTGGTTAGAGAATTGTGTTTTTACAAAATGTTATGTTGTTATAATTTTTTACCATAGCATTTGTTGCTTTGGTAATTTTCAAAGCACTTGAGTATTCAAGCTGACTGAAGT